GAAACGCACACATATGTATGTGTTTGGATATGCCCGACTTTTCTACGTGTATACATATATATATATGCACATGCACTCGTTTAGTTTTTGATACACATACACGTGTGTCTCTGTACACGTCTGTCCGTCTGTCTGTCTGTCTGTCTGTCTGTCTGTATGTGCATGTATGTATGTAAGTGTGTATGTATATATATATATATGTATGTATGTATGTCTTTATGCATGTATGTACATACGTACTCTCATACATACATGCTTACATGAATGTTTGCATACATGCGTCCATACATACCCACACACATACATACATTGATACATACATGCATGCATACATACATACAGGATACATACATACATACATACATACATGTGTACAGACATTCATACATACATACATACGTACATACATACATACATAGGTGCAGAGAGACAGACAAGACAAGACGGACGGACGGACGGACGCACACACACACACCAGAACGATACAAACATGCATGTATGCATACATGCGCACACACACACACAGACATGTTCCTTTATATGCAGACACACTTGCATACACGTGTGTGTATATATGCATATGTACACATCTTACCATCTATTTATTTCTTGGAACATGAAATGCATATGACATAAATCTATGTCCGATAGACGAGGAAGCAGACGCCTGTCCTGCTCTTCAATGGCAAGAAAGACAACGAAGTGTACAAAAGGACGTTGGGAGTGTGCCCAAGCTACGATGCTGTTTGACCTAAGTTTCAGCTCGTCTCTCTCATGAGGACTATGGTGGACACCTTCCATCAGCTTCAGTATTTCGTGGACGCAAAGTTCCTCCACACCGCCTTCGAAACAGGCCTGAATCGGCATTTTGGGGAGGAAGACATTGTCAGCAACTCCTCAACGGATGATTTGCTTATAGGGGATTTTCAGCCATTTGCTGCTCCCAGATGCCGCGCACGTGTGGAGCGTGGATCATGGCAACTGCGATTGCTACTAGGCTGCCGGTGACGGGTGACGGTTTGTGGAGGGTTTAGAGTGCGCGCTCCCTAGGCCAAATTTCGCACTCGTAGGCTCTGATAACTCGGGTTTAGGGTTTACAGTTTATAGTAGTGCCAAGGACTACGAGTAGCATCGGCACCGGTACAGATGCAAGATATTTGGTTGCGACGGCTAATCCCGCATGCTCTTGGCCGCGCCATGCTTCTACACCCGAGTGAACCCTATATATCAGAGCCATCAATCAGGCATTCAAATCGGTAGCACAATCAAGACCATTCCGACCACAGTACCATCCGGCCAGTCGATCGAGTACTTTAATTGAGAGTCCGCTTACCTGAACCCGGCAAGTTAAATGGTTGCTTGAGGAATCTTGCATTACCAGATGTTAGGAAGCTTTGGCTGCAAAGCCGTAAAGTCGGGAACCTGATCACCTACCGCTATAAAGCTACCCCGCAGCAAGGTCCTACAGAAAACTTGGTAAAGCAGTACAGAGTCGCAAGAAATCTCTGTAGTACCCCTAATGCCACAAGCCCTCAGCATCCCTCAGCCCTTGCAGAACCCTGCTACCCAGCTGTTGATTGCAAAATCTACCCATTAAGCTATACAGCAGGGTATATCTCGGGGCCTGCATTGACTTTGCATGTTTCTAGAATATTTGTGTGCGGGTGCTATTTTGAATGTTGTCCGAGCGTTGTTTCATTTCTTGTCTCAAGCTAGTATATCCATTGACTGAGGGGAGCCCATCTAGCAACCTTGCAGAATCCGTACAGAACCGTTATAGTACCCCTCGTTATGGTAAACCTTTCGGATGCCGTATGGAACCTTTAAAGGACTCTTATAGTAGCCCTGACAGTAACCTTTATAGAAACCCTTATAGTATCCCCTAGAACCCGTTTTGATCCCTTACAGAAACCTTGCAGAATACCCTTCGACTAAACCCTCAAACCATTAAACCCCTAAACCCGAAACCCTGCACCCCTAAACCCCTCAACCCTTAAAACCTAAACCTTCCCTCAAAGCTCTTAACCCTAAATCCTAAACCCTAGACCCTCAAGCCCTATCAACCCTAACCCCTAAACCAGCAAAACCCTAAACCCCTAAGCTCCTAAACCCTAAACCCTCTACAGCCTAAGCCGTCGAAGGCGGGGCCTGCAGCGACTTCATGGATAAACCGATCTGCTGTGACGTGAACAACTGCGTCTACGACCTGAGCGGTGCCTCCACGCGTTTATACAGTGTAGGGGTGGAGCTGCGGTTTTATTGGGCTCATGGTGTAGAGGTTTGCAGTTTGGATTGGATTTTTGAGCAGTGTTTGGCACCGTGAATACTCATCAAACCACACCAAAGCGACTGTGATTCAGACCAACTCCTCCTCAGGGATTGGGTAGAGTCCACCTCTACTAACCAAGGTATCCTAAACAAGGGGAGTGCCTGGCAGTTTCGATTCCTTTGTTCTTGTTCGAGAACCAATGGGGCAATGGGGAGCGCCAGAGTCCAAAATGACCCTAGCATGAGGCGACATGCTGCGGAAGATTTACGGACCGCTACGAGAACGAGCGCAGGCGGTCCAGGGCATTTTCCAGTCAAGGCAATCGAACAAAGCAGTTCTTGGTATAGTGCAACACAGCACAGCTAACCATATTGTCTTCATGACCTATGACTGTGTTGATATGTATACGCACGTACATACATACATACATACATACATACATACGTACCGTACATACATACCATACATACATACATACATACATACATACATACATACATACGTATCTACATACATGCCTGCACATGCGTCAGTGGTCATATTGTTACGGATATGATTACGATTACTATGCTTTTGGTTCTGATTCGCTTGAGGTGGCTACCTCTCCATTGTTAATTCCATACTTTCCGACCAATATTGCCCAGATCCATGTGTTTGGTGGGACAGCAAGCAACATGAAGATGCTTAGTATGCTACCTTGAAACTATTAACCAGCTCGTTAAGATAGTTGGGTGCTGATTGTTTCCCGGAACAAGAACTCGGGTCAGGAGATAATGTTTAGCAGGTGCCCACATCGCAGGACTCCCACAGCCTGTAGCAATCCTTTCCGGTAGCACAGAAGCTGCAGGTTCATCCAGTCCTGCGCCGGATCAACCAGAATCTCGTCAAGCCAAGGGTTGCAGAAGTGGAGGGATCCCTCGTGCATGCTTCTCCAGGTTCCAGAAAGGTTGCGGGTAGCCTTGTCAAGCCCGATTTGTCAGTTGTTGGTGCCAAGGTGGAAATATGTTCCACGGCGGGACTCGGACGTTAACACGACGACCGGTTCCACCCAGATGCTCGGATCAACGGTAGGCTCTGTCGGCTGATGCAGATGCGCAGGCATAAGCACGACGCCATAAAGGCTCTGGAATCTGTCCTAGGGCCCGAGCAATGAGCATGTTCATGGAGCTGCTCAGAAAACATAGTGCTGGTCGTAGTCGTCCGTGTGATAGGAGACATGTGGGGGCTTCGCAACGCAGAGAAAGGAGTCGGATTTATGGCACCGCTGCCTGTGGTTTCTCTTACCGGGTCGAGGCTGGAAGTCCCCGGCCACGGTGAATTCAGGATGCCTCAAAGCTCCTCTCTGACATCCTCGACTCTTCTTTGCTCTGTGTTGGAACTGCAGCTCTATCGCTGCGCCTCAGGACATCTTCCGGCAAGAAACGAGAGTCCGCAGGGACCAAACGGCATACGATACAAGGATGCGAGGCAAGAAGGACCACTGCAACACAAAGCTTTTCCAACAAGTTTAGCTTGTATCCCAGAGGACGGAGGCTTGTGAACCCTGAGGTGCAAATCCCCTTCCATGCATGCCCAGGACAGACACCGCCCAGGCCCCCAACCGGCACCGATCTCGGATCAATGTCAGGGCTTGGAGCTTCGGGAGGCCCACCCTTGAATAAATGAGTAGAGTTATTGAGAGTCTCCTGGCCAGTGGGAGGCAGAACATATATATATATATGTATATANNNNCTCTCTCTCTCTCGCTCGCTCTATCTATATATAAATAAATATATATATATACGTCCCCTTTCTTTTGCTCTTTCAGACCCTGAAACCTTCAAAAGCCCCGAAACCCTCGACTCTAAACGACACATCTCTGAATGGAAAGCCGCTGCTCGCTTCTTCGCAGCTGACAAGGCACGGAATGTGGCGCTGGGCGCTTGCGTACGTCCCTCGTGGCTGCGTGGGCAAGGCACCCACAACTAGGAGACTGGGAGTACGGCTAGATAAGTCTATATCATTATTATTATGATTATTAATGTCATTATTATTATGATGATTATTGTTATTATTGTTCTTATTATTGTTACTATTAATATTCTGTAATAGAATAACGCATACTATTACATGTTGGTGTACCAGTGTACCATATGCAAAATGTATACTACAACACTTGAGCTGTTTGTAGGGATGTCTGAACCAAGGGCAGAGATGGAAGGGTGGTTGTTGTATAATTAAATTGGAGATCATCGTAACACGAGTAATAATGTAATGATGGTCATTACAACACTGCTAATAGAAAGCATGGTAACAACGGTAATATTGGAAATAATGCTCACAAAGCTCACAAAGTTATAGTAGTAATAGTCGAGATAACTGTAATTATAGTAATCATAGTCGATAATGTGAGGATGTATGCACATCCTGGGGTAACTCGGCGTATCCAGCTGCTGTCCGGTAGTTTCCAGTGGGTGGGCTGCTGGGTCTGTGCTTCGAACAGGTCCATAAATGCCGCGTCCATGTGAATTACCACGGTGCCTGGTCTGCAAATCTGCAAGGCAATTAGCTCGGTCCGCTCTGTTCCCGTCCCTGCAGCACTCAACCTCTTCGATTCGATGGCTTCAGGATTCGTTAGGCACATGTTGGCATCAAGCTCGGATCATGAACAGGGTCTTGAGAGAAGCTTCAGACAAGCTAATCCACCCCTGTGTTTGTCCGTGTGCCTCGGCGGCTGCTCGCAGAGCTTGCAATGGCGAAGCACAGCTCTGTCATCCGGCCAGAGGTTAGAGAGAGACAGAAGATGCCAGCATCTCAGAATTCAAGAAAGCACCCAACCGGTGGTCGCCGTTCCGACTTGAAAGAGGTTTCTGAGTGGTGTCAGAAGCACACCATGGATCCCACGAGTGGGAGGGTGCATCGCCGTGAGGAGACCAGGAGCGAGATCCTTGATGAACCTGTGGTGTCAGTTCATGAAGATGAAGAAGAAATTGATGACGACATGAGGCATTTCAAAGAGACGATCGAGAACTGGAACCTTCACACGGAGACTTTCCCGCTCCCCATCCAGCCTGTGTGCCCGACTCTACGGCCCGTGGAGGAGAGAAACGAAGATGACGAACCATTCATCATGTTCAGCCATGACATTTTGGTCTACTGCTATGATGCCCCGGAGCTGACTTATGACGAGCACTTCAGCAAAGCGCTTCCGGATCCCTGGCGACTGCAGTTCTGGGTGCGAGGGAGAAACGAGTCCATCGCACTTCGGGGTTTGCATGACCAACCCGTAACAACTGGCTACATGTTGGAGACTCCGACTCAGCCTTCCAAGAAGTGTGAAGACTGGATGAGAGGTGGCTACTCCATTTCGGGCTTCGCGAGTCCATGGGCGCAATTCGTCGTCACGCACTCGGTTGACACCACGGTGATCTGGCGGCTCGATCGTCTGTGGCAGCTTGGAGAAGCAGCTGCTCGGGGCTGCAAGCAAGATCCCCAAACACCCCTGGACATCCGCCAGACGAGCGAAAGTCCGTCGCAGCTGTCGGAATGCAGAGCAGAGCTCTGGCTGAAGAACTCGGGAGGTATGTACCCCATGCGGCGGGACGAAGCCGCAGCATGCTTCGCCATCGTGGGGGAGTACTTGCCGGGGCGTCGACATCCAGGATACCGCCCTGACGATTTCAACGGAGGGGTTGTCCTGAAGATAGACAGCAGTGGCCTGCTGGTACTTACAGTGGCTCGCGGCCCCGATATTCATGTCTATGCCATCAGCCCCAACCGCCTGGATGTCCTGCCGGTGTCGGTCGTTGACACAGTCACCTTCAGCCTCGACTCTCCTCTGGAGTTGGTTTTTCCAGACGGCAGCTTTCTTCGCGGACTGTCGGCAAGATTGGAGGCCGAGGGTGCAGGGTCGACCTACACGGAAAACGATGTGCAGGAGAGCAAAGAATCTCCTTCAAGGTCGAAATCACCACGTGCAGCATCAATTGCCCACGCTCCGCCCAGCTCGGCACAAGTCGCTCCTTCGGATCCTGGGCCAAAGCCCAAGACTCGCAGCCAGCACCAGGTATGCACACCACGTGGTACCAACTTCCAGAGTCCCAATGCCGGAAGAGGGAGCTTGGCCCGTCAAGCCTCGTCACGCAGTGCGGAGATTCCTGCAGCTGGCCGCGTGCAGGTCTCACGCGTGGGGGTTCGTCCAGGGTACCAAAGAGATGGTCGGCTTGCCGTTGCCGATCGGATCTCGGACAAGCAGCGGCAACTTGCTAGCCAAAGGAACAGCAGCAAGACCCCATCGAGTACGAGACCTGTATCGACTCTGGTTCGAGCTCGTTCCAATTCGCCGCGAGGGCTTGGTGGAGAAACTCCCCGCAAGAGCACTGGGCCTGCGGCAAGTCACGGCAGAATCCGGGACGTAGTTCGAAGCAAGCGCTTAATCACAAGCCTCTCGAGTGGCAGTCCCACAAGCCCGACAAGCCCAACGAAAACAGAGAGTCGAGATGTGAAGGCGGCAACTTCGGAAGGAGTCCGATTGCGCAGCCGATCAGTCTCCTCTGACAGCGTTGACCGCGGCCGGGGCGTGTCCAAGAAGCCCGTGGAAACGCCTTCACGGGCAAAGTCCATCGAGCCCATAGGCGCAAATCGTATAAGTACATCCGACACGAGCAGCTATGTGCCTTCCCAGCAGACATCCCACCATGCAGTGCCAACAGTGCCAGTATCAAGGCTTCACACTCCGGGCATTCCATCCCAGAGATTGACCGTTGCAACACCGAGCGGCCGCTGGAACTCAGTTGCGGTGCAAGTGAACCAGCAACGGCTTCAAGGTCTCTCGTCGTGGCCAAGTGTTTGGGTACCACCAGTGGTCCCAGCGGCGCAAGCAGTGGTCCCAGTGCCGGGTCATGTGCCAGCCTCAATGGCAACGGTCAGCCGCAGTTTAGTGGGGCATCACTTGGAGCAGTCAAGGTCAGGCCTTGCTACGGCGGCACCTCCAGGTCACTCCGCCACCACAAGTCATTCCAGATTGGTCTCATGGGGTCGCTGGCCTGTCTCACGCTGATGCCAGGATGCACGCCCGAAATATTGAAGTCATTAATGCAGATCAGAAAGTCCGAGTGAGCCTTGCTTTTGTGCGCTGCTGCCGATTTCCGTCTGTCTTAGCCAGCATGCATTTATTTGACAGGTTCTGTGACCATGACGCTGGTAAGTTGAGAATGAGTCCACACTTTTGGTACCTTGTCGCATCCCCCCGCTTCAAATATATATATATATGTGTGTGTATATATATATAATATATATGTATATAAATGTATATATATATATACATTTATTTATTTATATTCATTCATTCATTCATTCATTCATTCATGCATGCATGCATGCATTCATTCATTCATTCATTCATTCATTTGTTTATATGCATGCATACATAAATACGTATACATACACACTATTACTATATTGTACCCAACTCTGGTCCGGCCAGCTTGATTCCGAGGATGCATTCGAAAAACTCTCCAGCGCCGGCGGTTGTGGGCTGCTTGGCACAGTTGCGAGATGCAGCAGAGCATTTAAAGAGCGTAGCATGCCTAAACCCTACGACCTTCAGGGCACTCCATCTTGGGAAAGACCTTGGATGAGCCGACGCCGACGCCCCCAAAAGAAAGAAGAGTCTTGAGGCATCTTCGATCGACCTCAATGAATACGGCGAGGCCAATAACATCGTGATGCTGTACCCTCAGGCCCTGGGAGAGAGCTTTCCAGGACAGGCCACTTTAGGCCTTCGGGTCTAGGGTTGTGGGTTTAGGGCCTTTAGGGTTTACGGCCAGTTTAGGGTTTATAAGTTGTGGGTCAGTGGCTGAGGGCTTCACGGTTCCGATCTTTAGGACATCAGGGCTGTTGAGGCGTAGGCTGCGTGCCAGGATTGAGGCAGCTTCCAGTGCAGTTACGTACCCAGACAACACGTCGCGGCGCGGGCAAAGTTGCAAAATGAGTAATATGGCGATTCTTTGTTCAGTGCAGACTCGTCACAAGTGAACAAAGCGTGCCTGCATGACATTGATGCAGTTTGGCACTTTGCCCCAATTGCTTCGTAATGCCACACGGAGTCTTTGTCCTTCTGCTACATTGACATGTTTCGCGACTCGTATTGACATCTCACTGATCATGCTGCTTTGGTCTTACCATAATAATGATAACAATAATAATAATAACAATAAAAATAATCATAATCATCATAACAATAATAATAGCAATAATAACAATAATAATAATAATAATAGTAATCTCACTGTCGCAGAGCAGTTGCGGGAGGCCGCGGGCAGCGACGAAGTTGGCATTGGCTGCTGGTGACCTGGCACAGTGAGCTGCGATTCTGCCTTGGTGACAGGGCCTGGGCTTTGAACCCTAAACCCAAAACCCTGGTGGTTTGTGGAGGGGCCTTTGAATTTTGTGATGACAAAGGTAAACTGAGTTCTCAACAACGGCTCAGATGTTACGATGACGGACCCCTCCCCATACTCTTAAACGGAGCCCTGGGACCCTAAGCTCTTGTGTAGGAACTGGGGCGACAACACTGTGGATCCTCAGTTCGACACCAAGTTGCAGGGCACTCGGAAAGCTCGAGTCTTTCGCAGCACCTTGCGGACTTCGGAAGTTTCAGGGCCGGGAAGGAAACAAGCTTTGGGAGTCCAGGATCGTTGCGGTCTCTCCGGTCAGGCTCAGAGAGATGTAAGCCTGCCAAGGTCGTACCAGTTGCGCACGGTCATGAACATGCTCTCAGACCTTGAGAATGCCCTCGCAGAGGCAGATTTGCTGTATCCGGAGGCTCGGCACAAGACTTGTTTAACGGCCCGACCATTCGTGCGCGGCTTCTTTAGTTTGGGGCCTGGGTGGCTTTGACTAACTTAGAAGGGTGGAGGGTCTGCGGTGCTCTGGGAATGCCCGGTTCGGATGGTTTGGGGATCCACAAGAGCTCGAAACATCACTCCAAGAGAACTTCCAGGAATTACCACGACTAAAATTACCCTTCATCTTTAAGACTTTTTCCTCCAACCGACACGCTTCTCCACAATCGGCCAAGTCTGAGGCCTGGTACTGTACAGTGCAGTAGTAGTACAGTAGCACAGTAGAAAGTAGTAGGAAGGAAAAATCAGCCGGCCAACAAGAAACGCATTAAAGGGACTCACCCTCATTTTGTTGCCACCGGCTTGACTAAGCAAAAAAACGCATTAAAGACTCCCACAGGTTTTAACAGGCCCCCACATTAGGGGTCGAAATACCTACCCTTTTGGTCCCTTATAGTTCTACGATAAGATACCCAAACTCCTGCCCTACTTATTAAAGCCCCTGCTTTTTGTTGTCGTTCTCGGGCGATAAGAATTCTAGAGTCTTGTGCAGTGCAGTGCAGCACGCCTTCTGTAGCAGAGTGCAGATAGCTGTCGGGCTTTGGAGATGTTCTCTCACCTGGACACAGCCAGCAAGCCCTTATCGTCCCCTAGAAACCCCCTCATCCGTAATTCTAGCCCAAGTTGGTTGTTGTTGCTGCCATCTCTGCGCGTCCCTGCTCCTGAAGATGCCTTTCGAGCCAGCAAGCCAGGAGTCGGCCAGGCACGTCGGTGAGCCAGATGCATCCCGCGAGCCAGCAATTCTGGCTTAGGATTTGGGGGGGATTGAGGGTTAAGGGGATAGTTCGCCGTTATCTACGAATTTGCGGATTCTCCTTTTGTTGTCGTGGTTGTCATCATCAGGCAAGAGTCAAGCGGGACAGGTTTACCAACTCAGTCAGCTTTTGTTTGCACCAGGGGGGCAGGAAAGGCTTTAAGCCGCTTTCCCGACTCCAAGCGGTAATGCTTTCGGCAAGGCCGATCGTTTTATTACACAAACCCTAAACCCTAAACCCCATAATTAAACCCCAGGCCCAGCTGAACCTCAAAGCCCAAAAGACCTATCCTGCTTAAGGTTCCTTACCATGGTTTCCGTATACAGTTCCTTAAAAACGTACTCGTAGGGCTTTTGGGCCACAGGTAGTTAACCCTATTTGAGAGCCTCCCGCTTTGATGGGGCCCGAGCCTAGCTGGCGCGCACTGTGGGACCTCATAGCAGCCGGCAGACGAGAACTTTGCAGGTAGAAGTCAAACAAAAAGGGCCTTTCTGGGGTTGCAAGGATTCCCTTGAGTGGACGCTAGGGGTTCCTTTAAGGGTTTCTATAGGGGTATAGGCTATAGGGTTAAAGGGTCCATGTATCTTGAAGGGTCCCTGTTAAGAAGGGTTTAGGGCTTGTTCATTGGGGCAGTCGTCTATTCGGGTGTTAGGGTTTAGGGGTTCAGGAAAACAGTGTTGAATGCATGTGCATGAGAGGATGACTTCATGGATCTTCACTGTATGTCAAGAGAGGAGAGGTGTTTGCTTGGCTGGGCAGCTTCGGGGAAACGGTTCACACTACTATTCTCAAGATTCTGTACAGTTTTTGCCATAACATGGCCCGAAACCCCAGTCCAATGGATTAAAAAAACCCATTCTTCGTCCCTATAGGAACCCGGTCCTTGCCTTTATAGACAATGAACCCTGGAGCAGCCCCAGGAAGGAATGTAGAAGCCTAAACAATTACATCAATTATTCCTTATGGCCGGCTTATGGTTGCTCTTTCTAACTCATTATATGAAGGAGCCCGATTCCCTCTTCTAAAATTATAAGGGTTGCTACAGTAGCTTTTGGGCAAGAGCTTGTGGAGGCTGCTATGTTCAGTGCCGGGCCAGTTTATACGCCGCGACGAGCTTCTCTTCTGTGATGTCGACTGAGACTTAGCAATTAGCAAGACATTAGGGTATCCCTGAGGGCTCCTTTGCAGAGCTAGTGGGTGCATCTTTTTTGGTGTCCTTTGTACTATGTATATCTATGCAGTAGCTAGAGTGACAGGCACCCAACTTCCCATGCGCTTGATTCTTTTGTGCGGAAGAAGCCCGTGGCGGCGCGGCTCATAATTTTCCACGCCCTTGCTTCCCGTGATTGGCGGGACTGCGGCCGGCGTAGAGCCTTCAGTCGGATGGCGTCTCTTCAAGAGCCCAACATCCTCGTCACGGCTCACACGGCTCAACAACAAGTTGCTTGTGAAGAGTGAGAACCTGAATGGTAACATAGGTCATGTCCCGATTCCAATCGTTACTAATTTCTTCTGCTGCCGGTGTGAGAATTCTCCCTCACATTGAGGGACACATGGTCTCTCGGGACGCCACATTCGGGGATCCGGTCCGGTTGCTTTTGTTGACATTGCAGATGGTCGTGTCGCATTGGGGAGTTGTGTGTTCCAAATTCCGGTCCAACAATAATGCTTTGTTGGGACATGGACCTCAATCTTTAAAGAGCTACCTCCGCCCCATGCGCATCCTGTCGTGAAGCCATGCGAGACGACGTTGAAATGCTTTGGCCAAAGATAAGTTCTTGACCCTTGCTTCCTGGGCACGATCCTTTCTTTCGACAAACATGTCAGTTCTTGAACCAAGCATGTTAGAAAGGTCAAGCTGCCTAAGAAAAGCCATGTGGCCACCATGCGCGGGGGACCTGCAATTCTTTTCCAGGACATGCCGCCTTCGGATGCGGAGATCCTTCAGCAGGCTCAGTGGACATGATTCGGGGACGTGCCCCGAGTGGATGGGATTAGGGAAAGTACATGCTCTTGCAATTTTCCTTGTTTCCAGCCTTCGCAACCTTCGCTCCAGGTCATGTAAGCGGACAACAGTAATCATGTCATCAAGTCACGGGAGCCCAAAAAAAGCCTGAATATCGCACACCCGCAAATTTACATACACCTTAAACTCAGCGAGTGCTTGGTGCAAGTTTCAATTTCCAGATGCCGAACACACAATGTACTGCAGAGCTGCAGATTGCTTTTGTAGGTTGTAGTGCGGATTTTGTATGATTATGGAGACCGAAGTGAACAGAATCCGTCTTCAAACGTTTCGGGCTGGCAAAGTGTCTTCCCCGTGCCAATCATGACTTCTGAGTATGCTTGCTCGTGGTCACTGCTGATTTCTTCATGCGCCCTCATAATATGAGGGTCTT